GCAGATTAGGGGCCATGCTTTATTCACATCAGCACTGTTGCACTGATCACTCCTATTTGGCACCTTTAGAGAGCAGATCAGAGATCAATGAATCCCAGGCTGAAGAGATGCTGTAGATAACAGAAATCCTCTACAGTCAGTTATCTCCCTACAAGGAATAACAGTCTTGCACAGAACTGAACGCTTTAAATGTACATAGACTATACACTACATTACAAGCTCAATGGAAGACTGACACCAGGACAGAGCCTGGGCATAGCCCAGCCCTGAGCTAATCTACACAGCTGTATGCAGCACCAAGAACTTCCACCACTAAGCCAGAGTCCTCCTTGCCCTTCGGCTGCTCCAAATGGTACAGAAGGGAGGAGAAGAGGAGTGTTGACACACAAAAATAACCTCGTGGGATTTAATTAAGACTACTGAACCTGTGTCACTTGTAATTTATGGCAGATTTGAACCCATGCTCCAGAGGGAGAAAATGAAGGCATTTCCAGTACATTAACTGACTTCAATAACAAAGTCAAATCTGACGTCCTGTGACCCTCGAGTGAACGAAGACTAAGGAGTCCCTGTTATCCCAATTATTTCTGACTAGATTTGTGAGATGTTTGCACTACCGTGGAATCCAGCCACAACCAGGTACCTGCCCTAATGGGGGAAGTGCAAAGCCTCCCCATGCCACAAAACCCTTGCGAGAGCATTAGAAACCTCCAGCAAAATTGGGTCATTAATGGTATGTTCCATGGAGAAAAAGGGATGTTGGGCATTTTCCCTCCCCCGACAGCAGGCACCTGGCCTCCACAGGAGCTAAGGAAAGGCTTACAAATAAAGCTGTGCAAATAACCGGCTTTGCCTTTTATGGCCAAAGTGAAAAAATAAACTTAGCAAAAATGCTTTAGGTCAACTAAAATGTTTTGTTCAGCCTCATATCGGGTGTGTCACCTTTCATCCTTTGGGAGATGGGAGGAAGGGTGAGAACATGCTTTATAATTGGGCAAAATGAGGCACATTTTGCAATGGGGAAAAAAAAAGGGCTAAAATGACTTCTTTAAATCTATTTCTCTCATTCTTTTCCTTTCATCCAGAATTTATTGCTAACTATGCTAGCAACTTTCAAGTAGGTTCTGCAAAGCCAAATCTATCAGGGCTCTCAGGGACATGGGGAAAAACCAGTGAAATCTTCCTCTCAGAATAACTTCTACAAAGGTACTTCGGGGAACTGAAAAGCAGAAATAACTTCCTATTTTATTATTATTTTTTTCTGAGGAGCCAGAGTAAATGAATTCAACAAAATGATACTACAAGGAAGACTTTTCATGAGATGAGACAGATGTTTTGCATGGCTGCCCAGCTCTGAAACCAACAATAATGCCAGCGAGGCTGAAAGCCACAGCAGTAGCAGCAGCCTCTCTAGTCTGACCTGTTTGAGAGAAAAGGGATTATTAGGGAATAAAATTAAATCCTTTCGATATAGGTTCCACAGCCACTGAGTTTAGCACGCAGATGTCTAGTGACTGTGTTAAATCCATCTTTCCCCCTAGGCTTGCTAGGCAGCATCAAATGAATTCCTGACCATGCTGATAAGACAGCTGACAGTGTGTGGGGAGGGGAGGGAGGCAGGTAGATCCGAGCCAGGAGGACGCCGTGGGGAATGCTGCCCACACAGCAAAGATGTCCCAAGTCTGTGCCTAAACCACCAGCCTTGCTCTGGGAGCTCTGACAGACACACCACTTAAGGGTGTGTTTTTCTCCTTTAGGAAATTGGCTCTCAAGTTGGGATAGAAGCAATGCCGCATCAAAGCTGCTCATAATTAGGTACAAATTTTGCTTGTAGTTCAGCAATTTATACGGATTAGCAGCTGCTGACCTTCTCAAGGCCCCCGAATGGCAGGCTCCCATCCCTGGTCACAGAGTGACCTCTAGTGTCGCCTGCAGCACGCACACGGAGCCGGCGCAGGGCAGGCACACGGATACAGGCACAGAGCAGGCACAGGGACAAGCAATATCCCCTGAGATGATGCACGAAGCCCAACCAAGACCAGCTTCTCAAGTGGGCTAAAGTGGTGCCTTCCCCCTGATTTTACCAGCAGTCCATTTAAGCCAGCTGATGGCACAGTTCCTAGAGGCTTCTCCATCTGTGCTGCACTTTGCAGAAAAGAAGCACCAAAAAGCCTAATGCTTTTGACCTTGGTCCTTGCTGTGTCTTCTGCTTCCCTGATTGTGAAAGCAGCCTGTTGCTCTTGCTAACTGCTACATGGGAGTATTAGAATTTTTTTACACCCTGGCATACTGCCATACTGGCTGTTACTGTCATCACATAATTTCACAACTTCATTTTACTCCGTAATAAACGTTACTGCAAGTATTTTGAGATGGATGGAGTACTGAGAAAGGCAGATTTTCACTACTGGATTGAAGTCGGTGTTGTACAGATGCTCTTCTGGTATTTCCTGTACTTTTAGCTACTTCCTTTTGTCTCTCTCTTTTACCCTCATCTATAAGCACAACACAGAGCACACCACGTTCCGACATGCTGCCTTATTTTATCAGCAGACTTCCACCATCCACAAAGCAAAGCAGCCAGTGATACCCATTTCTTACCCCATGGAACTGAGGTAACACTGCCTATGATTTAACAAATAAAATAATCCAATTTTAAAAGCATCAGAAAATATCACTCACTACACAAAAGAGTTGAAAAAACAAGTGCCTATTTTCAGCAGGAGAGTCTACAAAGTACACTGGTACAGGCAAAGTGGCTTTTCCAGGCAAAATGAAAATATGAATTGGAACAGTGTGAACAACGGGTTTGGCACTCCTTGCAGGCCATGATTATCACTTCTCAAATTACCCACAAGCACAGCAAACCAAGTGAAGCAGCACATCACACTGACACACAGCAAACCGAGGCCTGCAGGAAGCTTCAGAACACTCTGTTCTCAGCTAGGGGAAAGAAATACTGTAGATTAGGCCTGAGAGAATGACCCTGTGCTCAACATTACCTGTTCCCATTTCAGAATCACAAAGGACAGAAAAAGAATCCACTGTTTAGAAAAGAAAAAATAAAAACCTGTAACACACAGGGATAGAAAATGCAATAAAAGAGTATTGCATATAGCCTGGAATACATCTGGATTTTGTTTGGTTCGGTGTTCTCAGGGACCAGCCCAATAGGCCTTGAAGTCACTACAGTAGTTTCCGTCAGTTTCAGTGAGCATTTAACTCACCACCAGTCTGACAGACCTATCTCCAAGAAACCTCAAGTGCCACTGCATTAGGAAGAAATCTCAGATGAAGGAGAAAGCAGGTCTGATGACAGCTGAAATTAAGGCTTGCTCTGCACAGGACACTGAGTTCAAATGGGAGGGAGAAAAATAAAAGGATGTCTGAAGACTCCCTGATGGGACATGGATTCTGGAATAACAGCACAAATAATCTGCATCCATTTTCAAAGGGCAATGGACCCCACATGTGAGCTTCCAACAGATAATCCTTAGTTATTCCTGACTGGTATCTCCTCCTGTAGACAAACACTCACATGTTAAGAGTGAGGCACAGTGTACTGACAGGAATAAACTGTAGAATTCAGATATGTTTGTTAAGGCCAAGACAAGTGTAAACCTCAAAGATAAAATTAGGGAAAGTTTCTAGGTGTAACTTGTTGAAGAGACCAGGGAGAAAGCTAAAATCAAACATCACTGGACAGACAACTATCAGTAACCCAAACAACAAAGAGAGGTACAAAAGGCCAGAGGAATTGCAGCCCAGATGGTGGTCATGTGAAAAAAAAAACACATTCCACAGATTGCAAAGCACTTAACTTATTTTTGATTATAGAAGACAGAAGGATGGCAAAGTTAAAAAAGAAATGTGCTTGGGCCACAGTCATCACCGATACAAGCCAGTTGTGGACCTCTCTAATTTGATCCACTGTTTCTTGCTTTATTTTCCCGTGAAATACTTTAGATGTTTTAGATGTGGCAACAAGGAAAAAAAAAAGTGAGACTTAGAGTAGTCTGTACCAAAGTCGATACTGCAGGGAGGAGTGGGATATTTTTTGAGAGACAGAAATTCTAGGAAATGTTAAGGTGGTCAACAGTTACTTGCTACATGTGTCCCTGAGGAAAAGATAAAAGTTACTGTGAAGAGTGAAGCGATAGCATTGCAGCTTTTTTCAGCACTGCCTGAGCATCAGTGCCCTAACAGGAGAGAAAAATCACTGTGTCAGGAACATCTTTCCTCTTTGTCTTCATTAACTTACATTTTGGCTGCACACTCCAGAGGTGTGCAGCAGAGAGGGATACAGGCTGGAAAGGGCTCAGCTGGAATTGCAGCCCAGTTCTGCTATAAAATGACTCAAACTTCATTAAATAAAAGAAACCTGCTGTAGCCCAAGGATTGAGAGACTTGCAGTTTCCCTTGCTCCTAGGTTAATACAGCAAAGCTGGCACATTGATAGAACACTTAGCAGGACAGTGGGATGTGTTGAATTTAAATGAGTCTTCGTGGCTGGTAGGACTACACTAGGTGCTTCATACATAATCTGCCACTTAGAGGAAGAGAAGAGAATATAGCTACAGAAGGAAGAGAAAGTGTAAAAATCTACAATTGCACAGTGACATAGATTTGTCACAGAAAATTGAAGATTGTCCGGGCCTAGGAGTGAGAAATTAGAGGAAACAAGAAACTCCACATCATAGTCTAGAAACAGAGGATCTTCTAATTTAGATATATCTGACTGTAAATCAGTCCATTATAAAAAAAATCAGATATGCCACGAGGATATAATCAGAAATCCTAAAACAGATAGAGCTCATGTACTATATCCAGTCTACAGCACATTTGCTGGACAACTGAATCACACAGCAAATCATTGACTTCCAGAATGCTTGAGCTGTCATGGATATGTTCACATGCTCAATTCACAGCTCAACTGCAGGTAGTGCTACACAGGTGCCAGGCTTCAACCACATAGAGCAGATGATGTCAAGTCACAATACCTGCCAAAAGCACGTGAGGTGGAGTCTGTCCATGAGTTCCTAATGCCCATGAGTTGAAGTTTTGTACTTGCAGAACAATGTAGCAAGAGCTGCTGATCCAGGAGTGCCGTCAGACATCTGGAAAACAGAAAATACAGTGAATGCCTTGTTAAACACATAGCCTTCTGCCAAATGAAAAGCAACATGACAAAATCAGTTCTGGTTCCAAATCAGTCAGGTCAGCACTCAAGAAGGAACCTTAGCCATTGAGATATCCAGCCTTGGACTAAAAATACTGAGCAAGGGCCTGTGTTGTAATGTGTTCAGTTGGGAAGGACTTGATGGGGATCACATGAGCCAGTACCAGTACAATAGGGGACACCAAGAAAAGGCACACGTCCAAAAGCTGGCCTCTTTACAGACTTACACAATAGTCTCCTGCCACTGGCTAGGCATCTCTATAAAACTGTACCTTAGGCTTGAAGCTGATTCTTACCATCCACAAATAGGCACGTGGGGCTGTGACCCCAGAGAGCATTACGTGGCAACTGGACTGCCACAACTAATGTGGCAGACCTCATAGGAGTCTGAATTGGCTTTTAGGAGGTACTGGCCTTTTAGAAGGTAATGAGCCTACTCTGTTTTGGAACAAATTACATACGTAAGGGCAGGAAAGCCATTCTGGAAGTCCTTTAAGCTCTTGAGAAAAAAATCTCAGAGCAAGGAACATTCTCTGAAAACTCTCCCAATAACTTTACACTGGTCTGGAAAGAGAGGCCAAGGTTGATACCTAGCTGAGAAGATACTTGAAAGATCAGATTCCTCAGACATTGGGACACTTTTGGAAGGGAAGGGACCCATGCTAGAGAGACAGACATCTCTGACATACCAGACAATAATGTTATGAGTATTTAAAATTAGGAAGATTGAAAGCAGGCTTTTAAACTCGAAAGCAGTTACGCAGAGAACACAGCAGAGGATAGAACAAGTCAGACAGAAGTACAGAAAACAGATTAGGTAGCATTTGAATGAAGTGCCACAAGAACCAAACCAATGATAAAAAAAAATCCAGAAGAGAACAAATGAGAGAACTGAAATGCCTCCCAGGTGAGAATATCAATTAAATGGATATTTCAAAAACTTAAAAACAACCTGTGAGTTCCCCCACATCTCCCTAACTCTATTTATGCTGAGACCAACAAACAAATAAATAAATAAATATAAATCAGGCAAATACTGTGTGGTTTCCACTATGTATGAGAGAAGACATTCCGGGAGAAATGCCCAATGGCTAATATTTATTCTAAGCTAGATGCATCAGCAGTGTTCTGGCAGCAGTATTAAGGCACAAAAACAGAATTTGTGCCTGGGTGCACTCAGTTCCTCCCCTGGGAGACACTGCCACCTTTAACTACCGTTTGGGCTCTGCTCTGTGTGCACAGTTCATCACTGCTGAATACAACACGCTTTTTATGCTATCTGGAGAACAAATACTACATGCAGTACCATTTTGAGAGACAAATTCTAAGAGTTTTGGGAATACATTAATTCCATAAGTGGAAATAATAGAGCAAGTAAAGAAGCTAACATATCAGGGTGGGAAATTATTGTTAGGCTCAGTCAATCAGCAGGTATTCTGCTTTAGGAGATGAGAAACTAACGCTTACTTTTAGAGGGGACTGACACAGAGAATGAGAGCCCACAAGTTCACACTTCGATACAGGCATATATTTCTACCTCACCTCTTACTGACAAGAAAAAAACAATCTTTTGGGAAGTTTCTCCATTTTGTTTCCTTGCTTTCTGCATTCCTTCCTGTTCAGTGGCCTGAGTGGAGCTGAGCTGCCCCGTTTGGTTCCTCTGGAATGAGAAGCTGCAAACCCTGTGTTACTCTCTCAGATAACCAGCCTCAGCCCCTACGATGTGAGCTGGGGCTGACCTGTGTCTTGGAGGTGTGGAAGTGATAAACTGGGCTCTGTCTGGACAGCTCACATTTCCTTACACAGTCACCTACTTCTTCCTCCTGGCCCAAGATGTGACCTACATCACTCTTGAGAAATGAATTATCGGAAGAAAATATTCTTAGAGCAGAACAGCAGTTACTTAAGCATCACTTTTTAATGCCTATCTGCTTTCAATCTGTGTCTGTATCAGTGTGGGGGTGTTTAACACAAAACTGTACAATTCCTAGAGTAATTTCAAGTACAAATTGTACCAGATCCACAGAAAGAGAGAGAGATCCCTAGGAGGTATTTGGGCAACATAACCAATTCATACACAGTGTGTGGGTGTGTGAGTATGCAAGCGAGTACAAAAAAAGCACATGTACACACACACCCACACATCATGCCAGGATGCTGCAGAATCCCACAGACATCATAAATATAAAAGCCTGCCTTTTGCATGCATTATTTCTGAAATTTCTCAAGCCCTCCTGTTTCACAACGCTGAATTATTTAAAACGAACATGGAGAAGCAGGATTGCACTTTAAAGAGGAGGAGAAACAAACATTACCTGTATGTGAGCAAATCAGATTTTGTTTCATACTCAATTGCTCACAAAGAAAGTTTATAACCCTGGTTTGACCTTACCCAGAGCTGCAATTTTCCAACTCTCACGGTGACAAAAGTAGTTGAAACCTATATATGAATACAGTGACAGCAGTTTGACCCTGGCTTGAGTTAAACTGATTTTTATATCTAAAGACAACAATCACTTTTTGTGTTGTCAGAAGTAATACGGGGGGACAACAGTATGAGAAACGTCACAGCACGGGGTGCTACAGACTGGAAAAAGCATCTCCTTGATGGGGTCCCCTGGTCTCTGGTGTGCCCCTGGTAAAATGATCTAAGTGATTCTGGCCCATTGCCACGAGCCCTCTTCTTCGCTGTATGTGCAGAGAAATGTGTTACAGCATTATGAACATGTCACTGGAACTGTTAGCAGCACAGAGATAAAACCTCACTCATCTTTAGTGCAGTGTGCAGGAATGCCTTTCATTCCTTTAATTATTAAGCTAAGTGAGCTAACCTCAGTTTCCCAAAGCCAGTTTAAACCGGACTGTACCCTGCAGATTCATCACTTATGGGTTGCTGATGAAGAAGAGCTTTAAAAATATTTTGGTCTTTTCCTCTAGCTCTTTCCCACTTGCTTGTTCATTTATTTTAATTCCTTGGACTCCTAAGCCTTTTGAATCTGAGGACAGCAAACACCTCGAGTGACTGTAAGCAGAACTGGCAGCCTCACCGCTTATCTGCTGCTGGCATGGAGCCCCAGCCCCAGCCTGCTGCATCATCCCAGCCCCGCTAGGGTGCTCCCAGGAAACAGTTCGTGAAGCCTCCTGCACCTCCTATCTGAGCTCAGTGCTGGCACAGCTCTGAAGAAGGAATGGCCCTGCTGCAGCAAGCAGTGTGCCTGTCACCATGCCTGGAGCTGAGAAGCATTGGGTCGCTCAGGAAAACTCCAGCAAACACCTCTATCTCAGCTTCTGCAGCCCAAGCTGTAGGCCCAGAAAGAGGCGTGGGAAATAAAGAAGAGAAGATACGAGTTTGGCCTGAAAGTTTCTTTGCATTTATCAATGCAGCGTAAAGCAGCTGTCCTATGCCCAGGGCTGCCACCTGCAAAAGTCTGTCCTCTTCTCCGCCCAGCTCCTTTGTGCTGTCTGCCCACCAAAAAATGACCCTATTCACTCATTTGGAGGTCAGAAGGAATACCACTCTACTGAAGGAATGCAGGTTCAAAATAAAGAGGAAATCAAAATAAATCTTTGGCATATAGGCCAGTTTAAATCCTGATATTTGGATAATGAAACACACAATATCAACTAGACCAAAAGAATCATGAGCATTCAGGGCTCTGATTTTGCTTTTCAGACTGGGTGTAAAACCCCGTGTTCCTTCCAAATCACATGTTGCCATCTGTCTCTGCTTCTCACTATCTCCATTTGGCCACATGCTGCTCTTCAGGGCATACGAAATCATCAGCCAGTAAAGAGGAATATTACGTGAGGATTCCTTCTCCCTGTACTCTTTTTGTGCTTCCCAAAGTCTGTCCCCTTCACCACCCCTACCCTACCAACAAATGTGACCCAGAGTTTGAACTTACTCCAGGATTATGGTAGGTCAGAATGTAGATCTGATTCAATTTTACTGATGTTCTGTGGATACCAGGAAAAGTTGGGATAAAAAAAAGACAGGTAGAGGAGAAAAACTACTGTGCAGGTAGTGTGAGACACGAGAACCTTTGTTTTAGGAGAGAACAGTGGAAAATGTAAAGTTACAAATTCAACATCTACAATATGGGGCATATACAGTAGATGAAGAAGATAGTGTTTCAAGTAAAAGCAGTGCAGTGGGACTGCTAAGAACAATCACAACTGGAAGGCAGAGAAACTCCCTGTACTTAGGCAGAAATTAATGTTCTGGCTCCAAAATTGAGCTCAAGGTCATCGAAGTACAGAGTACAAACACAGTTAATAGCTATGCTAGTTTGTCTAATTTCGAATGATATCTGACCCCCAGAAATTACAGGTACTCAGGTCAGTCCCAAAGTTCCCTACATGCTTTATAACTTCCCCATGGTAGGGCTTTCCTCCTGTCCACCTGCCAGCCATTAATCAGGATAAGGCTGAGCCCAAGACACAGGGAAAATTCCCTACAAACCCCATCCTTCCCAGGCAGCTCTCCAACATCCCTCACCTCCTTTCCTTCTCTGTGCCTTCTTGGCTCCTTTGCTGCCTAATTTTGCACTGAGAACACACTTCACATCTCACACGTGGTCCATATCACCCAAGGCAGGTGCTGGGAGCACAGAAAAGCCATGGGGTGGTTGGTAGCTGGCCACTGTCACCTTGCATAGGCTTGGCCACTGAGTTAGCTGCTACTGAAAGCAGCCCTCCTGCTCCAGTGCCAGCTGCCAGGCACGGCACTGATTCTATTTACTACTGCAACACAGAGGCAGATCTGGAACCCAGCACATTAAATCAGCGTTGGTCCAAGCTATTTTAGGCCTTATAGTAAACCAACTCATGCACATTCTTTTTATTATTCTCCCTAATTTCTCCTGTGCTTCTTTGCATATGTTAAATTGTGTTGGGAAAAAAGATTAACACGGTGTCTGCACTGGATTTTTTTCCTCT